CTTCAGCACGCAAAATGGCAAAGCTCAAGTCCCCATAGTTTGAGCACCACTTTTCGATCCCTCGGTAACCCTCACCTGCCCGAGAGCGTTTTTATCGGCAATACGTGATTATTTTGGCAAAGCTAGACAAAAGTCTGTGGGAACGGATGTGAACTGGCAAACGGCGCGCTGCTCCGTTGGTGGTATTACATATACGAACGTCAGCAAAAAACGATGACACTGATTGAAGTACGTATCGTTGATGTTAATACACTGTGTCACTTGCCAGTAAACTACCTCGCTGTCGTTGCATCTCTACGGAATATAATAGTATGTTTAGTTTTTGCTTATTTAAAAACTAGCGGCCGCTCACGACTTCGTCCGCGTTAACTTTGGTTTTTTAAGAATTACAAAGTAAAGTAAAAATTTCCAGGACAAAAAGTATTGTTTGTTTCAATTCAGGTCATAAACTATATGCGTACCAAATTTCATCCAAATCCATTCATTAGTTTTTGCGTTATTAAGTAACAAACATACAAACTTTCACATTTATAATATTAGTTTAATGTATAGATAGGATGTGAGGAGAAACTTGATCGAATAATATTGGACGATATGGCATTTATATTGCTCTGATCCCAAGCTGAATTGTGTTCTCTAAATAAGAAATGACGAAGGTACGGTAAGGCTTTCTCATCGCTTGAGACAAATTGAAACTAAATCATTGACTTTGATATTAATGGATATCGTTGTAGAGAACACCTATGCATCATAGCAACAAAGACGATATTTCTAATATATAAGTTGTTGTATAAGAAGCAGTAATTTTATCTGTACCAAAATTTTATTATAGAAAAACTTTGTTCTGCGTTGACTCAACTAAGAATGAAACACAAGCATCGGACTTTTGTAGTAGGTGCAGCAACGATACCATCTCCGGAATTCGGCACTCAGTTTTAGTTATCATATCTTTTATATGTAGTTTGCAGCATAAGAGATAGGAAATGGCACGACTTGTCCAGTCGCCAGCATCGCTGCCGGAAGCTTGCAGCAGCCTGCCAAGGCTGCTTTCCTTCTGGACTAACTTAGGCTGGCTGCAGTAAACGGGAATGTTTCGAGACACGCACAATGGTCCAATGATTAGGGCTAAGTGCGGGAACCACCCTGAAAAACTAAACTAAACTAATTTAGTTTTTCAGGGTGGTTCCCGCTATTTTCTCAAGCCGCTCAAGAAACGAACATCTCTAAATAGTATAACGCAAAGTCGCTTCCCACAGTCTGTCTGTCACTGTGTATGTTTCTGTCTCTTTGACCTTTCTTTTTCTTCTCTTCTTTAAAACTACGCAACGGATATTGATACGGTTTTTTAATAGATAGAGTGATTCAAGAACATGGTTTATATTATAATACATGCGTAATATAGTAGAGAAACACTGATAAGTTTAGAGGTTTTTTGTGTAAGGTCGTAAATAAACACATTTTTTGCACTTACATTGCAAACGCTGGCTGAACCCTACGAGATAGATCAAAATAATGTACTACAAAAGGTCTACAAAAAAGTCCGCGATGGTATATGTCTATCTCTTAGGGATAACCCACAATAAACATTTTTTATCCTTTACATGTTACGAGTAAATAATGGCTTATTTACGAAAAAGCGATTTTAAACAATACAGCATTAATCCATAGATAAATGATTGGTCTCGCTAGTGTAGCGACACCAATCATTTATCTATGCATTAACCCTTATCCAATTAAGTACCTTATATACATTGTGCATGTAATACATAACAATATGGCCCTTTGCAGCATGTTAATAAATCGCAGGGTTAAACTTTCAACGTTGCAGGCTTAGATTTTAGCGTTGAGTGTTTTTCACATGGCCAATTATATGTCGCTTTTAAAGTGTTTCCTCTAAAGGAAACATGTTTGTATTGTCTAATGGCAAAAAAGCTGTTGTACATAAAGACATTCTGTAGTATATTTAGTATCAGCATTGCAACCATGCAAAGCCGGGGCGGGTCGCTAGTTAGATATAAACAAAAGAGGTGCATACTTATATTAATAGTTCATCGCTGACTCACACTGTGTACTCGTACAGTGCTAATAGTCAGCGATAACTCGTTCCACTAGTTTGTCGCTGAGCAACAAAAGCTTTTAATGTAATACTCGCTCAGAAATGCTTGCTTCGGCAAAAGAACGAGTGCACGCGTGCTTTTTTGCTCAGAACTCCCTCACGAGCGAGTGGCACGAGTAATCGCACGTCTTACTCTTGCTTATAGTCCAGTGATAAAACCATCGGAACTACACAATCGCTTCCCGCTGATCGTCAACTCATTTCTAGTTTCTAGCTCTACTTGGTTCTCGTTCATCGTCGGCGGTGGGACTAACGCCTTATCCCTTATTTATCCCGTAAAGCTCTGGCTACAGCTTTCGTTCACTCCCGGAACGGAACGGAACAGAGGCCCAGACAGCTCCGAAATTGTACCGCATCGTCAAAGTTCAATGAAAACTGAGGATCGAAAGTAAGAACAAACTAGTTTATTCCATATAAAATTTGACGCTGACGATTCGATTACGGAGCTGTCAAAATTTGTGCTTCGGCATCTGAACTCCGGCCGTAGTTTCATTAAACCTATATATCATCTTCAGCAGATATGATATATTTTTTTTATATATTGCAAGGTTGAGAGACTATCAAAGGTGTGATACACAGTGCATTTGACATTGTTAAAGCCGAATTATTTATCCAGAACCAAAAGTGACCGGTTTCTAGTCCAATTTCAAAATTACCCAGTCTGTTGATTGGCTTGTATTTTCTGCACCGTAAAATTAATAGCTGGTGCATGATGTTTTTCTTTTGCTCCCAAACCATCATGTGAGTTTGCTTAACTTGATCTTATCATCATCATCATCATCAGCTTTTAAATGCCGCCATTGCTACTATTCGTCCTTCACTATGGACAGAATTTAGAGAGCCGGTTATGCATACTTGACGACGCGGGCCCATTGAAAATGGGGATGATGACCATCTTTTTTTTCCTCTATCAGGTAGATTTATCAAAAAGTACTGGACACACATTTTTTTCTTTATACAAATAATCGAAACATTACTAAGTATATTGATTTGGAATGTTGCATGTCGTGACATCTTGGTACCATTTTTACTTGGAAGAGATGTCACGAGACCCCAGTTCTGAACTTTGACACGCTTTAATTTTGTAATTTTTGGTTAACTGACAATTTAAAAAAATCTTTGATTTTATTTTCTTGTCTAACTTGTGGACTATACAGAATTTCGTTCATTTTAGACTGTCATCATCCCTATTGGTGGGTGCTAACTGCTAACGACTGCAAATGCATCCGGGACCATAGACTTAACATGCCTTTCGAAGCTGCGTATGTCGCAGAGCGAACAAGCTTGAAATTTAATTTCTGAAAAATGTAACGTGAGTGCTAATATTTTGTCAAAATCAAATCAACGAAAACTTTTACGAATAATAGTCAACGAACATATAAAATGTTCTTTTAGGTAATTAAAAAAAGTATAAATTCCATGAAAAATTGATAGATTTTCTTTATCACTGAAAATGTTTTCAGTTATGCAATTCTTCTTACTGAGGGTTACACTAGATCTGGTAAGGTAAATCTATAACATAAAGGGTATATATTATAGATTTACCTATCCTAATGATAACTCTACTGGAAATTCCAGCAGTATAATTAAAACAAAATCTACAAAAACAAAATTTTTATTCATAATTTTAATAATAAATACAACTATTATACTTAAAATATTAAAAAGAAAACGAAACAAATGCAACAATTTATTTAATTTAAAGTAAACTAATCTTTTTAAATTAATAAATTATTAGATTAAATTTTTAAAATATTTTGTACGAACTTTGATTACAGTAGAATGTACCTAGATAGTAATATACCTTAGTTATACTAAAATATGCTAATCATTCTTAAAATTAATGAACCATGGGGGGTCTTATTTACATTTTTTATTTAAATCTAATAATCTCACTTTGGTAAACTGTGGTTAATGAGTTTTTATTAATTTGTGTATACTTATCGTAATAGTTCACTTATCAAAACAATAGAATTGTTTTAATCTAAATTTACATACCAATGAGGCACACTAATAAGACATAGTATTTTTAGGAAAATACACACATAAACGCACAAAAAAAACGCACAATCAACAAACATTCAAATCGAAGAAAACTTATTCATATTTTATACATACAATCTTATACAAATAAATTTTCATAATCATATAGCTATACATATCGTTACTTGGTCTCTTTTGACATTTTAATTAGTTCATTACAGGCAAAAGTACCTATCATAAATAATAATTGAAATTAATTATATTTCTTTGATTTTTATTATTTAATAATAAGTAGGCATACAGACGGATAATTTATTTCATAAAACTAGTTTTAACAGGTTAATGCACGAATCTTTATTTATTTATTGACGTTTCGCAGCCTTTTCAGGCTGCTTCGTCAGAATGATTTTTTATTTAATTTTGTCGAGCTACCTTCTAAATAAAGTTTCGTGCATTAACCCGTTAAAACTAGTTTTATTTAATGAGTGAGGTGCGTGAAAACCTAAGAAACAAATAATTTATTTCAATCAATGGTTTGTGTCTAGATATTCGCATTCAGCACTTTGATATTCTACGCGTTAGCTTCATAATGTGTGATGCATTATGCATTGATGACAACACTTTGCGACGCATCATCGCATTAAAATGGTTACAAGGCGCACTTACTACTACTTAAGAAGAATGTTACTTGAATTACAATAAAAACAAGATTAATTGTATTCACATTGATTCTCATTAAACATGGTAAACAATATAGTCTTGTAGTTATCAACACTGTAAATAGGGAAGATGCAATATTTTTATTTTTGTTTTCATTTTAAAGAATTCCATGTAGAATAAACCACAGATATATTAAAAAATTAAAACATTGTGATTTATCGGAAATAATGCGGTTTTAAATTGACAATTTAAATTTTCGCGCGAAAACGAACCTATGGTTGCGATGACGTCACTCCTGTCTGTCACTGGTCGTACTTGTTCGTCGCTGGCTTTAAATTTTCATACTTTTGCATATTTTATCGACTTTCGAAATATTTTTTTGAAAAAATTAAAATGGACTATCCATCAACATCATGTGATCATAACAATACCACTAATATTCCGAAAAAAAGCGTGTTGACTCATGTTTTGTGCCAATCTACTTCAACAAAGTTTCCAAACAAATTGTTTTTGACTGGAACTTCTGACCCAAAACTGAAAAAAAAAGTGGTTTGAAGCTGCGAAGAGAAATGACAATTATTCTCCAAAGACCATTATTCGATGCTGTGAAGATCACTTTGACGTAAGTCGGCGAATATACTTGTTATATGCTTAATTAATCTGCTTGTACGTAAAAACGCATTAGTAACCTACCTAATACTTACAAAACCTGTCTATAACATATTTTTAATTTTACAGTTGGAGAATGACGTCGAAAATTAGATAAACTTTAAAATGTGTGGCACAATCTTCACATTGGCAGGACTGAACCAAGCTTTGCGTTTCATTTAAAATAACTGTAACACGATAACCTTCTTTACGTACTTTATGCTCCGGAGAACTCGACCTTTTACTGTACATAATTCTCCATCTCTTTTAATTTGGACATAGCCGATTGCATTATCGCCGTAAGATTTGTAGAAGCCGCTGAATAAAATACGAAGTTTAACAACTACGATTTTTACATACCGTAGTAATTTAGTCCCTTTCATTTCTACACTTAAAAACTCTGCACTTTGAACAAAAAAAGTTATAACCATGTCAACACTAACTCTTGGTAAATTCCTGGAGTCTGCTTTGATAAACGCAACTTCCATTTTTATTAAATGTAAAAAACGCAATTAATATTCCCATAAAATAATATTTACTTTAACAACCATAACCTCAAAGAAGTTGTCATAACAGGAGTGACGTCACTAAACGCTGATTTGTGTTTTAAAATACGTTCTGTTTCAAGTATTTTAAATTCGTAATAATTGTTAAAAAACAACATTATGTAAAATAAAAACGTTGCAGTGGCATTTCTTTTATATTTTTTTAACATTTTAATCATAAAATTTTCATAAATATTATATATGCATCTTCCCTATTGTAAATGTTTGTAGAAAAGTAAGCTATTCGTTTGTATTTTAGCTCTTGTTTTTTCTGCTTATAATTACATGAAATAGTCTCAGGATGCCTCGGTGACTTTTATAAAATGTAGCCAACTACATAATTTGTACTTTGCTTAATTCAATTTGAAATGAAATTATCTAATGGAAATACCAGACTTTATAGGTATTGTTATAAAAACAAACTTTTTAGACGAGTAGATTACGAGTTTTTAGTAGAGTTTAATAAAATTTTAACCATTATTCGAATAATAGTGCGAACTTTATTTAAATATATTAAACCACAAGATTAACGATAATTATCTACAGTTACGAGCTTTGCTCTGGTTCGCGAAAGCTGTTCTCGATGCAATTGCACTACGCAGCGCCAGAACATAAACCGGTCTCGGCAAGGCAGGGAATGGAACCTCTTCATTACGCCGCGCCGCCCGCCGCCGCCTCAAACAGGCCGAGATATGTTGGAAAACATTAACGAACAAACGGCCTAGGGACAGTCATGTTTATGTTATGTTTGTGCTATCGTTTGTATGAATGCTTAATTTATTCTTAATAAAATGTAAAGTACTTTCATGTATTGGTTCTAGCATTGGTTACTGCTACTCAAGAAATCCTCGTGTGAAATCGAGTCACACAATTTTATTAGTATTCCATTGTATAATAATGCTGTAGCTTCGTAAGCTTTGTATTCTTTAATCGTCTTAAATAATATTAAAGTTCATAGTGTCTTTTAACAATTGAAACAACACAATATTTTGTGTAAAACTAATCTATGATCATCAAAAACTGTCTATACTGAACTGCGGGCCGAAATTAAAAATGTACACTAATAAGCGCGCCACGAAAACACATGTCGAATGAAGAACTATTAATTAATGGAGTGGAACATTTAAGGAGCGTGAACCGTGCGGCTGCCCAAAACCAATACACAGTAAGGCCCAACTCAGAGAATAAAATTTACTTGTCCTGATACTCCTTGTTACGCTCTACAAAATGATCTGGTCCTCGTAGTCGCCTTGAGCCTGAATTATTTTAAGAAGTTTTAACCTAGTACGATACAAAATAGCACTAAAAACCACATCAAAACCCAGTTTGTCTCAGAAACTAAATCAAAACACAGAAAGAGACATGGGTGTTTCGGGGGTTTAACTAGGTTTTGATTTTGTTCCTGTAACATACTTGGTTTTGGTTTTGGTTTAACCGCCGAAATTGTGGCACCGTTACATAGTCACATTCACATATGTAATTCATAAGAAATGCGAACGGAAACCCGCGTTAAGTAATTTGCCATGTAATATGTCGCGACCACTTGTTTTTGTTTCGAACCGGCACATACTGCATTCTACTAAACTACTGAAATTTGGTATAGAGATAGTTTGAGACACGGTATAGGACATTTTATCCTATAAATAACCTCATAAGGGACCCCACTAGTTTTTTATAATTTAATTCAAATCAAATTTGTTTCCTTAACTTATTATTATACGATTAGAACAAGAGATACTGTGTTTTGTGTTAGTTTTCAGTCCAGTACTAATCAGAAAGAACAAGGATTTGCTCCATACTGAGTCAAAAATTTATATATTTAGTATTCTTTTTAACGCTAAAGCGTTTTAAATAAGTTATGTAAAAAAATAAAAATACAAAAAAACAGTCCATAAATTACGCTTTGATTGATATATAACACTTCATTACACTACGTTTAAATATGCTAAAGACAGGCAAAATCATTTCTGCTGGTCCCGTAATTTTTTCCAAATGTGGCTTACTGTGTTTTATTTTTGGGCAGCCGCATGTTCTGGGCGGATGTCGCGAGGAACAAAACGACCCGACAGGTTGACGTGTAATAAGTTTGTCGCGCGTCAGAGCCAACGCTGCGACGGCTTTGGCTATTAGTCCGTACGGAATTAGCCACTATGTCATTAGTAAAATCCATTTCCTTGTTCTGAAACTGCATAATTGATTCCTACTAATATCATAATTCAAAAAAACATTTCATAAAAAGAAAAACTTTCAAAATTATCTTTTCTTCCAAACACAACTTTCGCATCGCATCCTAGTAGGGTATAGTCAATAATGTTCCTAACAATACTAACAGTAATTTGTGAATACGTCGCGTCTGGTGAAATCGTAGAATCTACGAGGTGCGTGGAAATTAAGGGTAGCTACACAAATAATCGGCCCGGCATAGTCGGGTCGGCAGTATTTGTGAAACAACAAAGCCGACCCATAGTAATTACTGCCGAACATTCATCTACACATATTCGATTTTAACGCTCGGCTGTGCCGATTAATGCCAGCCCGATTATGGGCGTTACCTACATACATAATCCCTGACTGGCAATATTTTGAACTATTTCAGTGCTTTTTTGTAAACAGTATTTCTGCTGGTATTTTGCGGGTGTTTATTTTCATTTTGCGTTTGATAAATTCTAATCGTCTTAAAACAATAGGATCTATAGAACTGTTATCGACGTTTTGCAATTGGCTGTTCTTGTTGCCATTTGGTGTTAAAATGAAATTTACGATAAAATTATAATAAAAAATTGAAATAAAATTATTCCATGACTAAAAGTTGCATACGGAAAATGAAAGAGCAGGTACCCATAATAATATATTTTTCAATAAAAATTGTATTGTGACCTAATTAATTTAATAGAACACTTATTGGTTGGGTATAAAGTGCGAATCATTAACTTTATTTCATTATTGTAGAGTACCACTTTTGTTATTTTTTTATTTTTGTATACCTAAGTGTCATATAGGATGGCCAGTACGAGGATTCTCATTCATATAGCTTGTCGAAGTATGTAGTAGTAAGCTAGTAGGGATGGAAGAGTTGACGAACCTTAGCAAAAACCAATATCGAATTCAAATAGTTGATTTCAATCTAGAGATACGTTAAATGTATACTGATTTTCAGTTCTCGTTACGTCCAAAGTAGCGTGCTGGGCAAATTTTCATACAAATTTTGGCATTGACATTTCGTACTCACAAACGGACCGAATTCGATATTGGTTCGTGCTAAGGGAACTGTATCGGGTAGGGTAAGGGGCGGGCGATAGATCAGTCAGTCGGCGCGCGCGCAGCATTTGTCACCGGACCACCGGCGCCGCCGTATTTATAGCGGCGGAGGAGGAGGCGTAGGGTTGAAAGATAGGAATTGGTTGGATTCTCCCTTCACATTAACGGCCGCCCGCGACTACTCTCGCATTATGTTAGTGTTTTGAGAATCTTAATGGACCTAACATTTTTTTCGGGATAAATGTATATGTGTGTATGTAGTAATAAACTAAATATTATTATAATATGTGTACCAAATTTCATCCAAATACATTAGTACGTTTAGGCGTGATTGAGTAAAAAGCTTACAACTTTCACATTTATAGTATTAACTGAGAATTCTTGTAATGTTCAGACTCCCAACAAAAACCATATATAAACACATGCGCATGACAATACATTTATCGTTTACTTTGTGCGACAATATAATTTGAAATTGGTATTACATGAGACATGGGGCTCGTGCATTGACCGCGTTTACCTCATTTACTTTTGGCATTTACAGGAGGCGTCCGGCGAGGTAAGAAAGGAGGGTAATTATCCCAACAACTATTCCAAAATCCGGACATTTTAAAATTTTATCCATGTCATGTTAAGATTTCTTGATCTGGCAACCCTTAGGAGGCAGCGCAGGCGCATCGTGGGCGGACGCCCGCCGTATCACTACATTTAACCTACACTTGCGTAAAACTAACTCGATACCATTCTATTGCATCGACAATGTACGACCTATGATAATTTTTCTACATTTTACATGCCTCAAAGTCATTATGCTGAACACGAAAAAAACGAACCTTTTTACAGAAATTCGAAACTACCAACTTAACTTTTTCCTTAGCACTTTCTGCGGAGAAAGGAAAACATCGCAAAGTTTTCTGTGCCTACGTACTTACATTATTAAGATCTCACTTAAAACAAACACCTTAGCTTATTAATAGTATGGAAATACTGAATAATTTACATATTTACAAATAAAAACTTACACATACTTTTTATATACTTACACTCTTATAAAGTAGTTTTTGTATATATTACTGTAGTTAGCGGAATTATTAGCCTCGAAAGAAAATAGCAAGATTATGATTAACATTGTTCAAAATACCCATCACTTTTTCTTTTACTGCATTATAGACGGCACCCTTTAGAATATTTTAACAAAACGCACACCTATCTTACACTGAACGTTAAAACAAGGGCTAAACACACTGAAAACCAAGTACCCGCACTGAAACTCGCTGCACCGTGATGCACTTCATTTTCAGTTTCTTTATGATGCTTTTTGTGATTATGATTCTTCGTGTGGGTCTCGTGCGGTTTCCGGAAGCAAAGCCTGTCGAGGTTGCTCTGCATCCGCGGACAGTCGTAGTCCTCCATGCCGTCGCACTGGCAGGCGGTGAGAGGCGCCGCCTTCTCCTGCTTCATCAGAATCTCTATGGAGTTCCGACATCGGTTCGAGCATTTCCTCCCTTTGAACATGGACTTGCAGAGCTGCTTGTAGTAGCCTAAGGCTGCAGCGCACTGCGCATCGGCCATGCACACCAACTGCGACAGACGACAAGATGACGTCACGTTAGCCGCCCCCTTTAGCACTTGAGGCCGACACACGTCTATCCGCCTCCTCGCATGCTCGCAATACTCTTCTCCACATTTACACTGCAACAAAAAAGAGAAACACTGCATTCAAACTATCCACAAAAACACATTCTCCGCCCATACAATATGATAAAGTTTTTAGGGAATATCGTAAATTCTAACAGTCCGTGACGCGCACAATAACTTTTCACGCTCGTAAAAACTGTTTTTACGATAGCCAGAATCATTCCGAAGAACGCACAGCGTCCAAATGCATACCAATATAGTGGTTTTATTTTTTGTGAAATCAGAAAAATAAATAAATGTGCCGACATTTTACATAGTTATGCAACGACTTACTTATTTATTAGGATTATATGCATACCACGAGACGGCATTCCACGATGATCAACTTGAATGAAAACCATATTTGCATAAACGGCGGCGTATTACACCCGTGTCAACCACACCATAAACAGGTATTGAGCCTTTTTGTAATCGAATAAAAAGCTTACTTAATTTTCTGGGTGTATCTTATTTCCCAGTAGCGATGGTTCCGTTTTAATGTTGAGGTCAAATGCATATCTAGATTTAGTTTCATATATATAAACGAGTAGCCGCCGACTTACGCCGTGTTTTTTTATATCTTTTTATGTTAGCGTGGCAACACCTGCCCAGCTGAGTGGCCGATGCGGTAGGTCCCGATCAAGAAGTCAAATCTCAAGGCTGTGCCCTGCCGCTCCTTAGCCTTTCGATACGTATTGCCCAACCATCGTGGCACAATAATCACACCGCTACGGTATAATTAAGGGCTCGACCAGTTTCCAATACAAGACGCCTTACCTATGTAGAAACGCACCCAGACATAAAACGAATACCTATTACCTACTTAGGTACTCTATTATTTTAGTTATCACCTATATTTCTTATTCAATGTAGTAATTTATATTATGTAATTAAATATTTCTTAAAATTATCAAACATTTGCATCATTGGCATTTCATAACATATTTGCAAATTAACAATTTGGCGTATGTTGTCTTGCGTAGTCATTTCTGTAGCGTTACAGGTGAAAATGCACCTGCGCTGTCAGGGGGGTCTCGAAGTTCTTTTGTTTTTATTATTAACACAATTACAATATTCTATAAGAAGTTTTGACACTAACAACTCGGCAAAATTCCTAGTCTGAATAATAGTCATCCCAATTTACATATAATTTTTAACGACCTCATTACTTAGCTAACTATGCACGAATAGTAGAAACTATTAACGAGCTTGCAACTGTTTTATGAAAAAAAAAATAACGAAATTTGTTTAACTATCATGTTTTTTACATTCTGAAAACATCACTATCTATCTTCAAATGAATGAAATAGACCCCACTTTCAGAACAAATTTATCTCCTTAAATTTAATTTTAAACAAACAAATTGTCTATGTCATTATTTCAGATCTATAATAAACCGAAACGAACATTGACAAATGCCGGGAATTCTTCAGATCGTTATAGTTTGACAAATTAACATCTGTCAGATGAAAGACAGAAATGAAGTTTGGCATGTGTTTGCGGGGATTTCCCATTTTCTTTTAAAGTGGCCACTGAGTGACACCATCTCCCGCCCACGAAAAGCATTGATCTATTCGAAAGAAAAAGAACTACTTATTTATATTATTACTAGCTGTCCCAGCGAACTTCGTACCGCCATAAAAAATAGGGGTTGGTGGTAGAAGGGCGAAAATTTTGGGTTATATTTATTTTTCTATGATGTATCATAAAAAAATAAAAATAAAATAACTAAAATTGAAAAAACTAATTTAGGGGTGTTTTACCCTTAACATTTAGGGGGTTTAGAAATAGATTACATCCGATTCTCAGACCTACTGAACATGCATATAAAATTTCACGAAAATCGGTCGAGCCGTTTCGGAGGAGTTTTAACTACAAACACCGCGACACGAGAATTTTATATATTAGATGTAGTTTCGGTAATGTTTTCAAGGTCTCTGCTTAAAATTTTATCATAGGGAATTATATTATATATTAAACAAAATCCTTTTAAGATAGTGTTTAATTTTTGTAAGAGTAAGGACTGTAACTACCAAATGTAAGTACCTACCGATTCGAGTGATTTAATTGTATCAGTTGTTTGTATCTGTTTTTGTCAAACAAAGATTATAATTATTTACTACGATCGCGGTAACAGTATTACGGCGAGGTCGTCAACCGCTCATCTCATTCAGTGGCGATGCGTTGCCATCAACCGCCGACAAATCTGCCCGGCGACGTTTAAATTAGATTTTATTGCGGGGCGTCTGTACATGCATCACGCTTAAACCGCTATTAGAGACCTTTCCCACGTCGAAATCACCCTAAAACTGGGTACCTCCGTAAACTGGACGACCGACTCAATTGAAAGACTGTACGGCACACGATGGAAAGTAACTTTGACAACTCCTGAACTCTGACTGACTGCTCAATTTATAATGTGAACGAGATGCACTTACAATGTGTCATATTAGCGGCGCCAGCCTTTACGGTAAAAGAATATGGGTAAGTTTAGTTAGTACACAGAACAAAGACCTCTTTCTTTGTACTGTGCTGCTTTAGGTATAAGTTATATCGGCATAGCTTTTTACTGTTATAAAAATGAAATAAATAGAGGCTCGATAATCGTTCTAGAGAGTACTCAAATCAAGATAAACTGTATTACAAAACTTCTATATTTTTATCACTCCTATCTGATTTTAAATGTGGCATTATAAAAAGTGAATACACCTTATTTCTTTTCCTTTTCAAAACGAAACTACAGCATTTTGGTAAATTCACATTCCTCCTCGGTAGACGTGAGTGCTATGAGCGCGCACTCGCAGGCCTTAGTGCACTTGGATTCCAGTTCGGTTAGCACGTCGCTGCACATCACCTCGTAGTTCTGTGGGGCCGCACCGCAACCGCTGAGAAACTCCATCAATGTTCGTTATACTCACATTCATCAACGCCTTCCCTTCCTCTGTAGATGTGAGAGCTATGAGTGCGTACTCGCAGGCCTTAGTGCACTTGGACCAGGGTTCGGTGAGTACATCGCTGCACATCATCTCGTAATCCTGTGAAGCCGCGCGGCAGCCGTCGTGAAACTCCATCAATGTTCGATATACTCACATTCATCAACGCCTTCCCTTCCTCTGTAGATGTGAGAGCTATGAGAGCGTACTCGCAGGCCTTAGTGCACTTGGACCCGGGTTCGGTGAGTACGTCGCTGCACATCATCTCGTAGTTCTGTAGGGCCGCGCCGCATCCGCTGCGGTACGCGCACCGCAGCTGGGCTTCCTGGCATTGTAGCGCGCCCGCCACCGCCGCCGCCATCGTCAACACAGCGGCCAGCAACCACATCACCTGCAGACAATCGTCAATTTTATAGATTAAAAAAAACAAAGTTCCTTAGTGGAAGCTTATGAAGTGCATTCCCTTTTGTCAAAACAACCATTCCACGATCAGCCTCTAATAACAAGAAATTACATGTAAATAATTTTCTAAAGCCCTCAAGGCGAGCCGGGCGGATTCTCGGAAGCGGTCGCGCTCGGAAAACAAACAGAATCGCCTCGCGTCCACTAGACACTAGCTACTAACTTACACGTTCACAGTAACACTGTAGGGTTGACACCAGTTGCATTGTCATGCAAGACTTCTAATATTAATCTATTTACTTTCTTATAAAATTTATCCCCATTTGCCTTGGTCACGCTAAAACTTCATTTGTCGGTTTCATATTTTTTTTATGATTTCTACTGCTTTGTAATAAGTTCCTTTACAAATAAAATAAGACAGTGGCACGAAACTAAAGTTAACAGGTACAAAGTCGCGGACGGAAATAAGTTTATTATACAAATCAAATGAAAAATCTTTCAATAAACCTAATGAATTATAATGAATAATACACGTATTCCTTTGTTTTTGTATGTGGTTTGTTTTCATTCCTGAATCGTAAAATAAGTGTAGCATTTTAAAAAACAATATGATAATAAACTTGACTGTACCAGATGAAGTCTAATGTCTCCAAACATAACTTAACTTCGTGTAGGGGCCGGAATACATTTATCTTCTGTAAGTGATGATGACGTTAGCACAACTGTATCTTAAACTATTGTTTTCAATAATATAAATAACAAGTTAATGACAGACAACCCTATTGAAATAGAGACGAGAAATTCTGGGTCGTCGCCCGTCTAAGAGCGGTCGATGCAAAAAAAAAAAGCAAAGTGACAAGTTAAGATGCCCACCAATCCTCTACCGCGCGCACCGAGTATAGCATTACAATAACAATTACTCCACCTAACAGCCCTAAGCCTTATTTGCATAACAATAAGAGCTAAAGCTGAGCGGTAAGTGGGGCGTGCTGAATGCTGTTGGCTTAGTTAATTAAATTACATTACGATACACAATTGTGTGTTAATACTCAAGCACGTTTACGGTATTTGCTTAGACGTATACTCTGCTTCAGATTGTATTGAATCTATTACGTTAGCTTTTGTAGTGCCATTATTATCAAAGACTATATAGAGGACTCTACCATATGTAACTTTGTGGGACATCATGTGTAGTTTTTGGAAAAGTGATTGATGAGCACTTTTTAAACCAGCAGAAGCTTTGTAAAATATCTGGTCAAAAAGTAGGTACCTATTCTATAAGAATGTTTAATAGTCCCAGACTATAATCCTTAGAAAATTAAATTAAGTTTCTTTCGGCTGATTTAACAAAACACAAAAGAGCAACCAACTGTTATTTACTTCATAGTATACGTTCACTATATGGAAAGGCTTCGATGATGAACATTATAATAAATACGAAGACGAGCTCGTATAAATAAAATTTGAATTTATAATTAATAACCAACACAAAATGTATCATTAACACCTATCCCAAAATATTAAGTGTGAATTGCACCACAGAACTAGTTATAGTAAAATTTTTATTTTACAGATACAATTAATTGTTACTGCCAAATTTCGACCTAGTTTAACTATCGAGAAATAGTGCAACACAGTTTTTATCCAACCGGTACTTTTACCAACTGATCTGTTAAAGTAAGCAAGGAAGCAACTTACGCTAATTAAACAAAACATAATAATAATAAAAAAATACGTGTATAATTAATCCTCCATATATATTAAGGCAAACAAACATCAGTCAACAGAATCATACAGCATCCGTCATCATACGTAGGCCATCAACAGACCACGCACTAGATGAGTGGGACTTCCGACTTATTATCCCATGACGATGACAGGGAGCGTGACAAGATTCCATAAAGACTTCATCCACTAATGGGGTCGCATACCATAGATAAAGATGTTCTCAGAAAACGTGACTTTGTAAATGTTACATTTTAAAAACAGCTGAAATAAACATCTTTCTTCGTGTATGCGTAATTTCCAAGAGTTTCGCTCTATGAGTAGGGGAAAACGGGGAGACGCCAAAGTGGGAGAGTGGTACCATTTTTTAAAATTATATTAAAAAAAAATAGTACAAACAAAAACTCAATTAATCATCTGTTCATTGGTCAGTCAACTGGTCACATCTTGTCACATGCGAGACGCCAATCAAATTTTAGTCTTACATGTGACCAATGAACGAATTGAAGTTTTTTTTTGCAATACAATTTTGAAAGATGGTTCAATTCTCCTACATGGGTAAGTCTCCCTGTTTTCCCCTATGTAAACTTAAGAAGTAAGTTACAAAGCTAACCTTGACCAACTTAACTAACTAACTTCTTCAGTTTGTTATTCCCTTGGTGCCATTGTTCTTCTTATGAAGAGATAATGAATAAGATAAATAAATATAGACAGCATAAGCTCCATTTCTCTGTATCTAAACTTGAGTATGCTGAATGTCATTCCTAAGTATAAGTAGGTAAAATAAAAATAATTACGTACGTAATCATACACAGCTTCAGTTGTATTGCAACTAACAAATAATCAAATATCGAAGAACATTTATTAAAAATTAGCACAGTTTTAACTAACAATATGCATTTATTTCTTTAGATAAAAAAAAGTTGTAGTACACCATAACAGTTTATGTCTTTTATTGTATAAATTGATATATTATATTGATATTGGTGTAAAATAAAGGTGATTATGTTGTAGGCAAACACACTTACTAAATTGAGATATACCATTAGACTATCAGCAATAAATAAGACACATTTTATGAAGTTTAAAAAAAACATGACATAAATTCATAAATAACATTATTAAAATAATTTTATCATCATTTTGTTATAAGTCCTATCTAAGACATTTATTTGCTAATTCCCTTACTATATATCTATCAAAACCAGTGTTATTTTAAGCGAGCATATTGACTAGATAAACGTTTTATCTATCTGTCTATCTTAATTCTAAATATCTAAATAAGTCTAATCATATCAGTAAATTGATAGTTAATTTATATGTATTATAATTTCAGCACCAGAAACTAGGTTTTAATGTTAAAGTAACTGTCTTTTTATTAACTTTATTGTCTTTAAATTTACCTTCTTTAGTTTAATGCGGTTAATCACAGAGTTATTATTATAATTGACCGTTTCAATATTTATCTCAAATAACTCACATCTACAGATTCTATGATCACGTAAACGATCTTTTAAGGCAACAAATCTGTCAAAATCAAAATAAACTCATCATAAACTCGGAAGAAACCTTTGTGACATTTTCACTCACTATTCCAGTCGGCCTGTTAGCAAGGAGGTGTGAAAAGCGTCCAGTAATTGCTAACACTGTCTACACAACAGGCCCTAGCGAGAACGTGCTGAAGATAAAAACCACAGAAACGTTACAGACCAGTTACGCAACGTATCATTATATCATGCCGCGCATAGCTTTTACCATATGCTAGCACTTTACAGGGCTATTTCTTACCGGGATAAAAAACTTTGGACGTACCACTAGCACGAACCATTATCGAATTCGAATAGTTTGCAAACCGAAATGTCAATGTCAAATGTTGTATGGAAACTTGAACAGCAGCACAAAGTACGTAACGAGAACTAAAAATCAGTACACATTTGACAATGACATTTCAGACTCGCAAACGATACGAATTCGATATTGGTTCGTGCTAGGGGTACAGAAATATTTTACCGATATTTATACTTCTTTAAACTCCTCCTAAACTTGAATCTTCTTGGATTTAAACTCCATCTAGTTTAAGTGATATGAAATATTTATAAGTACATTGTCACTTAAACATTAAAGTATTTACATATTTTAAATTAACCTAAGAATATAAACATTCTTCGACTTTTCTTTGATAAGTCTCTGACTTTTCTTTGATAAGATCTGAGATGCGGAATGTGAATTTAAACGCAATAAGCAAGCAAAAAGTAACAATAAATCTTCAAAAATAAGAATAACAGATGAAAATTATAAAATTTTCGTAGTTGAAAATCCTCCGAAGGCCGTCGTATGAATGCTTAAATTTTCGACTTTAAGGAACAATAAATTTCAATATAAACTCAAAAACAAGGTTCATTGGAAAACCGAGTTTTGGCCTGATTATCGCTTTTATTTTTGTAATAAATCTTACGTGCCCGACATAACCAGGGAGCCAGCACACGCCATCTCTAACTAGACACGTAAACACAACACTCGTTATTGCATGTCGTTGAGCGACAATTGGTTGCACAAACAGCTACCGAAGAATGTCTGCTACGTGAACAAAAAAGCATTGGATCCTCAGATGTTTTAAGAATAACTTTTGTTAGCTCTATCCAGCTCATACCGAAAGGCGGACAGAAAATTAAAAGAATGTCAAATTAGTTTATGAAAACATGTAATGTAAATTATCTGTTAGAAGACTTACATGGTACACTTAACAGCTATGAAAAGAGTCGGCTAAATTAAATTAAATTCTGAATACTGTGCAACAGTATTAAATTTTAACGTAATTAAATTTTGAACACATTTGCACAAAAAATGCATTTACAGTGGTTATATACATTGTTCGAAAGTTCGAAATTACGGATCATACGGCAGAGCGTTTTTTTTATAGTTTGTTCCGACAAATAACTCCGCCCCACCTGATGTTTAGTGACGGTGAAGTCCAGACGTGAAGATAGCAGCAGTTCTACCTGCCACACCAGCCACCTCACCTTAAGCGTGCTGTAAAATTCATTACGCACGCTCCCATACTAGGCATCGTGCGTATGCTCTAGGTTTTTTTTAATTTCTGTCTAATCTCACTAATCTAATCGGCGCTGCGGGTTAGAGTGAGAGAGGAGGAGTACCTACTGTCATCATCTAACATTAGAAAGTTGTTAAACTTAATGAGCACAGGAGATTGCTATGTGAAAAGGGGATTGGAGAGTGAAATGACATTCGAGGGTGATAAGAGGA